TAGTAGTAAAAACACAACTTTATTCCCTTACACTTGACTAATACTTGCGTAGTGATGAATGTCTAAAACTAATGCTTTTTCCTTGTGCATTTTAGTGTTTTTGCTTGTTACTCATTATATTATAGATTCATTTTGGTCACTTATGAATTTATTGCGTGTGTTAGGTGATTTGACAAAGAAATGATGTTTTGAAGCATTCTATGAAGTATTTGATCAAGTTTTTGGTGTCACCTTAACACGAAGATACATTTGGTTAACCAAAGTGATGATGTTTAGAGTTTAACACGTTTTTGGGATGGATCATGGCGTGACCTGAGGTTGAGGAGAGCACCAAAGTGATCACCGACACAATCGAAGGCGTACTCGGCTAGCCGCGTTGTGCCCGCACCCGTAGTTACCAGGCAGTATTCACTGCCTGGTGGCCACAGGTGTGGCCACAGCCGTGGCCACGGCTGTGGTCACCAGGCAGTGTATTCTGCCTGGTGGCCACAGGCGTGGCCACGACCGTGGCCACGGCTGTGGTCACCACGGGTGTGGCCACATCCGTGGCCACTGGGCAGAGGTTTCTGCCTGGTGGCCACGGGCGTGGCCACGCCCGTGGCCAGCTCCCTGTTTTTTTCTAGCAGTGCGATTTGACTCTTTTTAAAGGGAATTTTTTCACTCTTGAAGACACTTTTCATTTCTCTTTCACTCTATAGCTAGGGTTAACTTTAGAATAGCTTAGATATGTGTAGATTTGTTGTTTCTTTCCATTTTCCAAGCTCAAGAACATTGCAAATCTTGGATTTCAAGACTTCAATAGAGAAGTGTTCTTATCATCTCTTCTCTTTACTTTTCATCTATGCTTTCAATTACTCTTTCAATATTGTGTATCTATTGTTGGATTATGAGTAGCTAAGTGTTTTAGGACTTGGATTTGGTTTGATTTCTTGCTATTGATGCATATTTGAGTTGTATTGCATAAAGGGGATTATTTGGGTGATCTAGGGTTGTTGTGTGAAATGGGTTTGTTGAGAAATTTGTGTATGATTGTTGGATCCCAATTATATGCTTGTTTTGGAGCGTGTTTGTTGCTACGAGAGTAGAGCTTGTACACTAGCCACACATTCACACACTTAATGCCCAATACGAGAGTATTTCGGATATTAAGGAGAATTTTTGCCTTGTGTTCTTGCTTGGGCAACCTTGGGTTGATTTGCCACGAGAGTGGAGTTTAAGGTGAGGTTGCAAGTCTAAATAGCTACGAGAGTGGTATTTGGACACTTTTGTGCATCTCACTTGCCTTATGCCTTGTTTTAATTCCCTAATCTTGAGTACAATATTTGGCATCTTAGTTTGAATCAACCAAGTCCCGGTCCTTTGTTTTACTTGTCTTATTTGTTATTAGCTTAATCATATCAAACCAACTCCTTATCGATAGGTCTAGCTTCTAAAAGGGTAGTTTTAGCTTGTGCTTAACTCCACTTTACATCAATTCCTAACATTACAAGAGCCATCGCTAGTGGAACGATATCTAAACTCTATACTGTAATTTGATACTTGATGAATGCGTGAAAACCGTCCTCATCACGTAGCAACCAATATCATGTTTTGATGACAAGATGGTGGACTCATCCCTCCAAGCCGCCGCTCAACATCAAGCGATTCTCAAATAAAATGGAGTTAGATATATATGGAGTGAAAGTATGAACATTTGCACACTTATCAATATTTAATTATATTAATATTGTAATTATATTATAATACTTACTAATTTAAACTATGGTAAATTCCTCCAGATGTCCTTTGTCTTTGGTGACGATTCTAAATTTAATTCCAGATCAGACTATCATTTTTGTCATTTAACATCCCAAACTATTGTTTTTTGGACACTTTTAGTCATTCTCATGACTTTTCCTATTTTTAGTAAGGGTGTTTTTGTCCCTTCATATTTTTCTTTTGTTATTTTTACGATTTCAACCGGTTTAATTGGTTTAGGAATTTACTAAAAAACAGTTGAAATATATGGTTACTAAAAATCAAAGGTTACCTAAAGTTCTAGACCAATTAAACCGGTTGAAACCGTAAAAATAACAAAAGAAAAATATGAAAAGACAAAATGACCTTACTAAAAATAGGAAAAGTCATGAGAAAGACTAAAAGTGTCCAAAATAAATAGTCTATAATGTTAAATAGCAAAAACGATAGTCTGGAACTAAATTTAGAATTGTCATTAAAGACAGGGGACCTGTGGAATTAAGACTTTAAAATATTATTATTATTATTATTATTATTATTATTATTATTATTATTATTTTGAATGCTGAGGGAAACCCCACTCCTGCATGGACCGCTTTTCCAATTAAATACAATATCTCGGGAGCCAACCTTGCCGTACTACTTATTTTGGAAATGAAAAATCTTACAACAACTCCTGCATGGACCGCTTTTCTAATTAAATGCAATTTCCCGGGAGCCAACCTTGCAGATGTTGACCCTATAATCCAACCTCGCCAGCCGAGCATCTTCGTGGCCTCCGTTTCTCACATCGTGCCCGGTCTTTGGTGGCCGACTTTGAGACCGTGAGTAGACACGATATTCACTTCTTTGGGTAGTCTTTGGTTAATTAATTTTGAGTCTCTCGAATAATCTTCTGAGTTCATGTCTAGCTGACTTGACTTGCCGACTAGTCGACCTTAAATTACCTCCGTATGCTTTGCCTTGATCCGCACCACGCCTCTAGGGGTCGCGAGAGGACAGGGACGGAGCTAGAAAACTTGAGTTGGGGGGCCGATTTAGTAGAGAAAATTTACCATGTTAGTCGATATTATAATTAATCGTACCATATTATTATATATACCATACATTATTGTGATTATTATTGATAATAATTTCTAATTATACTATGTGTAATAAAATATGAAATACATAATTATATGAATACGATCGATACAGGTGTCAATCATTAATTTATAAATTTTTCACATAACACAAAATATAATAATAACAATAGCAACAACATTTATTAAATATATATTGTCTCTTAACATCAAATAAAAAGTTTTGTCAATTATTTTGTCACCAAATTTTTCATAATTAACTGATATTCATTTTACTGATTAATTGAATATTTCAAAATTTGAGAAATAAAAACAAAAACCAAGACGAATTGAACATTCAATATTATTTTTTGTGAATTTCAAAACTAATCATTTAAAGTTTTAAACTAGCAAATGTACATCTTAAAAATGTAAATAAATAATTAAAACACACAATAAATCACTAATTAATTAATCAACATAACTAATAAAATCAAAGTATATATCTCTGATTTGGAGATTTTTAAAAATTAAAATGTATATTTGATGCTCTTCAATATTAAAATCTTGATAAGAGAAATAAGATAATAAAGAAAAATTGCGACTTTAATTATTTGATTTATTTCTTTTTATTTAATGAAAAATAGTGAACATTAATATATATTTTGAGTTCATTTAATATAAACATAATAGATTGTTTTATTTTAAAAAAATTAGAGGGGGCCAAAAGTATATTTTATCTCTACTATATCAATATATACATACATATTTGCTAAAAAATTTAGGGTGAGGGTGTGTGGGGGGGGGGGGGGGTCTGGCCCCCCCTACCCATTAACATAGCTCCGTCACTGCGAGAGGACATGTCCCGGCTCAGCGGCATGTGCAGAACGTAGAGTTCATGCACGGGTTCAGGCTGGGCCCAAGAGGCCTTGGCCACGTGTAGTGGTGTTAGCGAACAGAGCTTTCGGCAAACTACTCGTGTTCGTTTTCGGTAAGCGTTCGTTTATGTTCGTTTGTTAAGGTAAACGAACATTAACAAACAAAATTTAGAACTCGGTTAATGAGCGAACAGAGCTTGAATCGTTGTAAGCTCGTTTGTTAAGAGATCGTGAACAAACTCGTTTCTGTTCGTTTACTAATGTTCGTGAACAAGTTCGTTTATGTTCGTTTAATAATGTTCGTGAACAAGCTCGTTTGTGTTCGTTTAATAATGTTCGTGAACATGTTTACTGATTATTGTTCACGAGCGAATTGTGATCATGAACATGTGCAGGTGTTTGTTTATTAAGTGTTCAAGAATGTAAATGAATATGTTCGTGAACGTGCTTGTTGATGAACATGTTTGTTAACATTAATGAACACGTTCGCGAACGTGTTCACAAACACGTTCACGAACGTGTTCACAAACACGTTCACGAACGTGTTCGCGAACGTTCACGAACACTAATGAACGCTTAACAAACGAACACGAACATGAACACTCCAAATTCCTTAGCAAACAAACACGAACAACCTCTGTTCGTTTATGTTCGGTTCGTTAACAGCCCTAGCCACATGCCCTGATACTCTTGAGCACATTGCGCTACTCCACGAGGCACCAGTAGGTCGGTAAGTCGAAATCACGATGCTGCCTACAAGTGTAACCCTTAGTCAAGCTCGATAGGCGCTACAAGGTCAGGAAGGTGCGAGCCTTAGGTCGGGCCCAGCCCACTCAGAGAGTCCGCTTATCAGTAACATAGTTAGCTTATCAGTCAATTTTGGCTTCTTTGATTACTACGGAGTATTAGTTGTTTGACTTGGTTAAACAACTAATATGGGTGTTTGGTTAATCAGTTTTTTGTAGCCGCTTATTGCTCCAAAACGCTAAAATTCAAAAAAGGGCTCAAAGTAACATTTTTTGAGAAAATAAATTATGGTGTAATCAACTATCAACTAACAACTAATTTACCAAAAATTTATCTACAATCAGTTAATACTATTAACTAGTCAAACGCACTAACCCAATCAATTAACAGCTATCAACTAACAGTTATTTGCCAAACACCCAAAATAGTAAGAGATTGGCCGGTAGCAGCCTGGGGCCATTATAATGTTAGAATAAAAACGTTGCCTCGTTCTGCACGAGGGAAGAAGTGAACGGCATGGCATGGCTGAAAGGTGTGTATAAATAGGGGGGATTGTGTAGGAAGTTTCATCATCATCACCACTACTTTAACAAAGAAAAAAAAAAATAGAGAGAATTGAAGATGGCGGGCGGCATAGCTGAAAGATGGAAGGCTCTAAGTGGGAGTGATAACTGGAAAGGGCTACTAGACCCTTTGGACTCCGATCTCCGCCGCTATCTCATTCACTACGCCGCCATGATTTGTCCCTCATTTGAAACTCTCATAACTCAACCATTTTCCAAAAATATTGGATTGCCCAGATACGCCAGGAGAAACCTCCTCGCCAATACAGGCCTCGTCAAGGGAAACCCCTTCAAGTATATATATATATAAACCATCCATGCATTCCTATATAAATCACAACAAATTAAAGTTAAATTTCATTAACCTAACGTTATTCTTTACTGTATGTTTCAGATATGAAGTGACCAAATACTTCTATGCAGTATCAGGATTCCCAGTCGGAGCTACAGGGTATAATGTGAGGCCAGAGAGAAGTGATGCAGTGCTAAAGGAATCAAACTGGAATGGATATGTTGCTGTGGCCACTGATGAAGGAAAAGCTGCTTTGGGACGAAGAGACATTCTGGTTGTTTGGAGGGGAACATTGCGACCCTTAGAATGGGTTACCAATTTCACATTCCTTTTTGTCACAGCGCCCTTAATCTTTGGCCAAAATTCTGATCCTCTGGTGCATAGGGGTTGGTACGAAATGTATACTGCAATCAATAAAGATTCAGTCTTGAATGAAAAGAGTGCTCGAGATCAGGTATAATAATTATATAGATATATAGATAACACTCCCATTTTTTTTTTTTTTTTTTAATCTGAGTGCCAAGCTCTTTAATTTGGCCCACATTAATTAATTATATTAATATTATTGTAGAATTTTTATTTATCCTTTTTTTTTTGGATGAGGGAAACCAACAATCCTTTCAGGTGTAGGTAAATTGGTAAATTATTGCGTGGACCATGATTCGCACAGTGCTTTGTAGACCATAACAAACATTAAAATACATTTTTAATATACTAAACGTACATTATTCGTGTATTGAATGTACATTATACAAAAAATGTACTTTCAATACTCAAATAATGTACTTTTTCTGAATATAATGTACATTTTTAATATACTAAAAGTACATTATTTGTGTACTAAATGTACATTATTTGATAGTATGGTCCACACAGCTGTGTGGACCAAGATCCATACAACAATGATTGAGGTAAACCATGCCTTAAACCCTAACCGGCAAATTAAATTATCATAAGAAAGTAAACCAGCTTAGGTTATCTATAGCTAACCGGCTTAAACCAAGGGGACAAAGATTCGAACCCGTGACCTTATGGTTACAAGTGTGGATCTTTTGCCTTCTAACCCTAGCCGGCAGAGGACCACAAAAAGGTAAACCAGCCTATGTTACTTATATATATATAGATGACTTAAGCTCGTGACTTTGTGGTTACAAGTGTAGATATCTTTGACTCTTGCCATCTTGGCTGGGGTATGGTTACCCCGCCCCAATTTTCATTTATCCTTAGCTTGCCTAAATAATAGCTAGGGATGATGCAATGCAATGTTAATTATTAATTATTTGTTGCCTGGCTCATAGGTTCGTGAAGAAGTTGCAAGACTTGTTGAGTTATACAAGGGCGAGGAACTCAGCATAACCGTGACAGGGCACAGCTTGGGTTCTTCCATGGCAACACTGAATGCAACAGACATGGCTGTCAACCCATTCAGACCGGACATTCCTGTCACTGCTTTCTTGTATGCAAGTCCCAAAGTAGGGGACCTGAATTTTAAGAATGCTTTTGCTAACCAACCAAATCTCAGAGGCCTGCGAATCACTGACGTCAACGACGTTGTTACCAAAATTCCGCCATTTGGATGGCCACTTGGTGCTCAAATATTGCCAATCATATATTACCAAGATGTGGGAGAGGGTTTAATAATTGAATCCAAAAGATCTGAGTATTTGAAGCCTGAACTCTCCTCGGCTCTTGGCTATCACGATTTGGTGCTTTATATGCATGCAATTGATGGGTTCGAAGGGCCTCAAGGAGGGATCTTGCCTCGCGGATTCTTTGATCTTGCCAAAATTAACAAGTATCAGGATGCTTTGAAAGACGAATTTAGTATCCCAGTGGCCTGGTTGACCGTAAAAGATAAAGGAATGGTTCAGAAAGAGGACGGGAGTTATATTCTTGATGATCACGAAGTGGATGACGGCTTTTAAACTAAAACCAATTCATTTGGTTGAATAAAGCTAAGTCTCCTATGAAGTTTCTACTTATTTATCAGTGTGCTTTGAATAAGACTACCGGAGGCAACTAGCTAGCAGTGTGGCTGAATGCATATGTATGTTTGTTGTTTGCTTGCTTGTTTGTTTGTTTTTGAATAATGTGTTAAGGGAAAATTGCAGTTTTATTCCATAATTTATATGAAAAATTGTAGTTTTCGTCCTCAATTAATATTGCAGTAATATCTATTAATTAGTCACTGTTATTATTTTATGAAGAAACCTCTATCTTTTCTAGCATTAATTGTAATTGAGGGCAACTTAGCAACTTTTGAATATTGCAAGTATCACTACTGGAAATTATGGAATTTCCGACCGCCTGAAAGTGATCTTAAATTAAGTTAAAATTAAAAAGTGGTCGGAAATAGCAACAAAGGTTTTTCTGGACACCAAAAGTGGTCGGAACAAGACTTTCCACTTAATTTAAATCATTTTCAGGTGGTCGGAAATTCCATAATTTCCCTTAATGTATTTCGTTCAACTATTAATGATTCAAATTTTTCACATTACAAATACTCTAAACTCTAACAAATACTCTCTTCTCCCTCCAAAATCGAATGAATCATCTACGAAGATCACCTCCAATGTGTGGTGGAAACTTGTTGGTGTTGTTTAGATTTTAATCCAAGAAACTTGATGGTGTTGTCCTTTCTATATTAGTTCTCCTTAGGTTTTCATCTAAAATAACTCCATCTATTAGAACAAAGGATTAAATACACAATTTTGATGATTAATTAGGGCCTTATTAGGGGTATAGGATACTATTGCAACTAAATGTTAATATATTAGAGACAAAAAAATACACTTACTCTATAACTCCATGGCTAAAATTTATTTTTGCCATGTCTTAATGATCTTTCTTAGACAAAGATTGTGGATTTTACTTACTTTGATGATTTGATCCAGGCTTAATAAAACTTACTAATACTCTAACAACAACAACAACGTAGAAGAATTAATGTTGTTGACAAAGTATGAATTATATTCCGGCTTGTTGATATTAGCGCGAGCAGGAAGCCGGCATGAGCAGGGAGTCGGCTCGGTGAAATAGTCGTGGGCATTTAAGAGCCCCTTCAAAGCCCGATCAAACAAGCCATTGGGAAGCCCAATAACGGCATTCCAATGGCCCTTAGGTGTAATAAGGCCACTTTATGACATTTCAATGTAGGGGTGTAAACGAGCCGAGCCGAGCCGAGCTCGAGCCTGAGTAGGTTCGAGCTCGAGCTCGTTAATGAAGGCTCGGCTCGAGCTCGAGAATTGATGCTTGAGCTCGAGCTCGATAATTTTCGGGCTGCTCGAGCTCCAGCTCGATTGTTTGAGTTCGAACTCGAGTTCGAGTTCGAGCTCGATTTTGACATTGAATTTGACCTATTTAAAACTTTTGATTAAAAATTCAAACTATTGAGTTTAAAATATTAATTTCTAATTGTTATTTTTATATATTATTATATTATATTATATTATATGATATTATGTATTATATATATTATATAATATATGGCTCGCGAGCGGCTCGACGAGCCACGAGCCTAGAATATCTAGGCTCGGCTCGAGCTCGATTACTAAACGAGCTGCTCGAGCTCGATTTTGACCGAGTTTTGACCGAGCCGCTCGCGAGCTGCTCGGCTCATTTACACCCCTACTTCAATGTACACATTTAAATTAGCAAGGGTGAACCACTATAAAATGGGTCCTTCAGGGAATGTAGAGGGAGGCCAAGTCGAGTTGCTCAAAGAGAGTACTAAAAAATACACAGAGTTAAAAGCCATTTCTCTTTACAAGTTCATAGTTTTATCCTTATGGTGAATCCCCCAACCACGGTTGTGTTGGACCTTCCTGGGCCCAAAAATCCTAAAACCAACAAGCACAATTATACATATTTATCTCATGATTTGATAAGCACATCAAAATAACTTTCACTTATAATATATGCGATATATTTAACATTTATAGCCTATAGCAAATAATTATGTCAAAGTTTCTTTCATGATTCACATGGCCATATTGTATTCGAGAGCTAGTTGTGACACAAAAACATTTGTCATATATAGATCCTGTTTGGTAAAAAAGTTGACTTATTTGACCATTATTAATTGTTAGATTTAGTTAAAATATCAATATAAATGTTTGGTTAATTAGTTTTTTGCAAAAGACTAAAATTCTAAAAATTATTCCAAGCAACTTTTTCAATTAGCTTTTCGAGAATATTAGAATGGAAAAAGGAGAACAACTGCCAGCTTTATATGAAGTTGGCGGTTATAACAGAAATACCAAAAAGGACAGGAAAAGACAAGATTGCCCATGGCATTATTCTTCATCCTTTATCACTGGTCATGGCATTATTTTCATCCTTCATCAGAATGGAATGGCATGGCTTATGTATATAGAGATGAATGGCATGGCTCGTGATGCACGAGGGAAGAGCTTTATTCAACCAAATGAAATAATTTATTCAACTATAAATTCATAAATAAGTAGAAATTTCATGGAGACTTTATTCATAAACGAACAAGCAAACTACAATCCAAACAACAAATCTTACATATGCATATACATTCAGCCACACTGGTTGTCTTATTCAAATTAAAGCAATTAAGCACATTCAATTCATCATAAATAAGTAGAAATTTCATGGTACGGTTTTAGTTTAAAAGTCCCCATCCACTTCGCGATCATCAAGAATATAACTCCCGTCCTCTTGCTGAACCATCCCTTTATCTTTTACATTCCACCAGGCCACGGGTATACTATATTCATCTTTCAAAATATCTTGATACTTATTAATTTTGGCAAAATCAAAATCTCCTTGAGGCTGGAACGCTTCTTCAGAGCCTTGGAATCCATTAATTCCATGCATATAAATATTATAATCGTGATACCCCTTTAGTGTTGGCAAGCTGACCGCAGGTTTCAAAAACTCTGATTTTCTAGATTGAGTCATAAAACCCACTCCCACATCTTGGTAAGGTATTAATGGCAGTGTGACGCCTTCAACTGTCCATCCAGTTTCTGGAATTGTTGGAACAATGTCATTGACTTCGGCGATTCGCAAGCCTCTGAGATTCGGTTGGTTTGCAAAAGCATCCTTAAAATTCACGTCCCCTACTTTGGGACTTGCAAACAAGAAAGCAGTGACAGGAATGTCCGGTCTGAATGGATTGATAGCCATGTCTGTTGCATTCAGTGTTGCCATGGATGAACCCAAGCTGTGCCCTGTCACGGTTATGCTAAGTTCTTCGCCTTTGTATAACTCAACAAGTCTTGCAACTTCTTCACGAACCTATATATATATGCAGGCACGTAACATCATATATCATATATCATATACTACTCCAAATTTTGAAATTTCCGACCATCTGAAAGTTATCTTAAATTAAGTAGAAAACCTTGTTCTGACCACTTTTGGTATCAAGAAAAACCCTTGTTGCTATTTCCGACCACTTTTTGCTTTCAACTTGATTTAAGATCACTTTCAGGTGGTCGAAAATTCAATAATTTTCAGTAGTGATATATATATAACTTGAAATCCAAATTAATTATATACCTGATCTCTGGCACTCTGTTGGGTATCTTGATTGACGGTGGTATACATATCGTACCAACCCTTAAACACCAAAGGACTGAGAGGATGAGAGTTTTGGCCAAAGATTAATGGCGCATTAACAAAAAGGAATGCGAAATCATCACTCCACTCTAAGGGTCGCGTTGTTCCCCTCCAAACAACCAGAATGTCTCGTCGTCCCAAAGCAACTTTTCCTTCATCCGTGGCCACAGCAACATAGCCATTCCAGTTTGAGTCCTTTAGCACTGCATCCGCTCGCACTGGCCTCACATCATACCCGCTTGTAACTCCGGTTGAGATTCCTGATGTTCCATAGATGTATTTGGTGACTTCATATCTGAAACAAAGAAACAGTAATTAATTATGCCTGTCAACCCAGAGGGGGTTTAGATTATATACTATATATATATATATATACTCACTGGAAGGGGTTTCCCTTGACAAGTCCTGTGTTGGAGAGGAGGTTTTTCCTGGCGTATCTGCACAATCCAATATTTTTGGAAGCTGGGTCAGTTATGATAGCTTCTCCTGTGGGTACAACCATGGTTAAGTAGTGAATGAGGTAGCCGCGGAGATCCGAATCCAAAGGCTCCAGAAGCCCATCCCAGTTATCACTCCCACTCAGAACCCTCCATCTTTCAGCTATGCCAGTGCCACTCATCTTCAATTCTCTCTTAGCTTCTTTAATTTCAATTTACTTGTGATAATTATGATGATGATAATGATACAATTCAGTTCCCTCTCTTTATATATACATCAGTCATGCCATTCATCTCTTCCCTCGTGCATCACGAGACAATATTTTATATTCTATATTGTATAGCTTGAGATTAATTAGATCAGATCTGCGGGCAACAATAAATTAAAGCTCTTCTATATATGTATCTGGAGGGAGTCAACCATAGAATTGAATTGAATATGTATCCATGCGCAGCTGATGGATATATTAAATTGAATTGGATAAGTGTCCATGCAGCAGTGGTTGTATATAAGTTTTTTCTTTTCAATACAATCACGTAGTGTTAATAACATTTTAAATTAGTAAATATTATAATATAATTACAATATTGACCCAATTAATTAGTATATATTAATAATTAAGTGTGTAAATATTGATGTACACTGTATTTAAATGTGCATGTTGCTACGGGAAAAGAACAAAAATTAAATAACATAATTTAAAGTAAGTAACTTCAGAGAGACGATTGATTTGCTCAAGGGAATTTGTTAAGGACCATTTATATCTTCCATGCATGCATAGCTGTCATTGTTTGCTCTAGGGATCTGTCAAACCATTCATTTACCCATAAATAAATGAATCATCCTGTTTGTTCTTGCGATTACGGTTTGACCGGCGAGGTGGTAAGTTAATACTCGTCATGTGTGTTGCAGACTCCGTATCATCACCCCCGCCTGGAGAAGCCACCTCGACCTCGAGGTGTAAGTTTGGATACTTGGCTAGAAATACCGTTGCAGGCTCCCATGTAGAATCAGATGGGCCTCCATCACTCCATTGCACTGGCACTTGCTCTTCTAGAACTCCATGGCGTAGGACCTGCCGATGTTCACGAATAGCCACCGGAATGGACACCGGCCGACCTTCATCTAAGGTAGCAGGCAGTGGCGTGATGAGCGTGGAACCAGACCCTCGAAATGGACGTAGCAAAGACACATGAAAGACTGGGTGTATCTGCACATGATCAGGCAACTGGAGACGATAAGCCACGGCACCGATCCGTTCGAGAACAGAGAATGGGCCATAGTAACGACATGCAAGTTTTTGATTAAAACGTCGGGCAAGGGAGTGCTGGCGATATGGTTGCAATTTCATTAGGACCAAATCACCTACTTGGAAGATGAGTTCACGCCTCTTTTTGTTAGCCCGCTGGGTCATTCGGTGCTGAGCTTGACACAAATTCTCACGAAGAGAATGAAGTAGCTGATGGCGTTCTTGGACCAAGCATTCAACAGCAGGTACGCTGGTGCTGTTCTGAATATATGACGGAATATTTGGAGGTTCACGACCACATAAAGCACGAAACGGGGATGTCTTGAGATGCTCATGATAAGATGTGTTAAAACAAAATTATGCCCAACATAGAAATGACTTCCACTTGGCTGGTTTGGCGTGAGTAAAGGCTCGCAAATATTGTTCAACACCCCTATTGGTGACTTCTGATTGGCCATCAGTTTGAGGATGGTATGCGGTACTGTGGCGGAGAGAAGTACCACTTAATCTGAATAGTTCTTTCCAAAAGTGAGAGGAAAATCCGGTCCTGATCTGAAACAATAGAGGAGGGAAAACCATGTAATTTCACCACAATTTCAATAAACACTACAGCAACCTTATGAGCATCAAATGTAGGTGGTAGACACCCCATGTGAGTGTATTTCGTGAGTCGGTCAACCACAACCATGATCACTGTGCAGCCTTGTGAGAGTGGTAATCCGGTAATAAAATCCATAGTAATGTGTTCCCAGACTTGAGACGGGATTGGAAGTGGTTGTAATGGCCCAGCCGGGGGTTGAGTTGAATACTTTGTGATTTGGCAAACCATGCACGCGGCAACAAACTCTTCCACATCCCCACGCATTTTCTCCCAGTAAAACACTGCGCATAACCGAACTAAAGTTCGTTTTACCCCGCAATGATCTGCCATAGGGGTGGAGTGATATTCATGCAACAGAACCTGCTTTAAGGAGGACGAAGAGCTAATATAATAACGTTGCTTAAGAATAAAATTACATCTCTACTGTGAATGTGAGGAAGAACATTTCCTGTTGTCAGTTGTGCATGAATTTTCAGTAAATCAGGTTGGGTAAGGTTGTCATTACGAATATCTGCTAGTAGTGATGGGACAGGTTGCGTTAGTGCGAAGAATAAGGAGGTTGTTGCCAATGAGACATCAGTTTCCTTGGTACGCCTGGGTATCCAAATATTCTTTTTGAGCAAGAACAAACTCCACTTCAATTCGTACTTCGAGTGTACGCAACTCCAAGATTAAACCAAAAATAATGAAAGAAAGAAATCAGTGATAATTCTCTTCCTCCTCTTTTACCTTGTACACTGTATTTAAAGGTGCATGTTGCTACGGGAAAAGAACAAAAATTAAATAACATAATTTAAAGTAAATAACTAGAGGAAATAACTTCAGAGAGACGATTGATTTGCTCAAGGGAATTTGTTAAGGACCATTTATATCTTCCATGCATGCATAGCTGTCATTGTTTGCTCTAGGGATCTGCCAAACCATTCATTTACCCATAAATAAATGAATCATCCTATTTGTTCTTGCGATTACGGTTTGACCGGCGAGGTGGTAAGTTAATACTCGTCGTGTCTGTTGTAGACTCCGTATCACTGATCTTCATGCATTTCAGAGACAATTGTATCTAATGCTTTGCTGTTGTAGTTAGCTACTGCAATTTAAGCTTCTGACCATTCACTCTCTGATTTTGGCACAAGATCGTCTCCTGCCTTGGTGGGATGCTCCCATCCAGTTAACTGAGACCTCCCGCAAATTATCTTGCCGTTAACGGTGTTAACGGCGTTATTCGTTTGTGCCATTATTAATGTACAGTTATGGGATTATGAATGTACATTTATAGAATTATGAATGTACAGTTATGACATTATGAATGTAAGTTATAAAATTATAAACACAGAACTCTGACATTATGGACTTACAATTATGAACATATAGTGATAAAATTATGAACATAGAGCTCTAAAATTGTGAACATGAAGCTTCAAAAATTTTGATTTTACAGTTATTGAATTATGAATATACAGTTATGCAATTATGAATGTACCGTTATGCAATTATGAATGTACATTTATGGAATTATGAACACACAGCTCTGACATTATGAACTTACAATATGAACATATAGTGATAAAATTATGAACATAGAGCTCTAAAATTGTGAACATAGAGTTTCGAAAATTATGTAGTTACAGTTATTGAATTATGAATGTACAATTACGGAATTATGAATGTACAGTTATGGAAGTATGAATGTACAGTTATGGAATTATGAACATAGAGCTCTGACATTATGAACTTACAATTATGAACATATAGTAATAAAATTATGAACATATACTCCTATAATGAAGCGGTCTGAAATTAAAAAATAAAAAATAAAAAAATGGAAGATAACAGTGCCACTAACGGCACTATTACCTGTGTCCAACATGCATGCTGGACACGGATCCATAGCATAACGATTGGAGACCTCCATACTCTTTGTCATTGGGCCTTGATATGCATTTTAGTGCGAACTTTCCATTAGGCATAGTTAGCTCCTTAACTCTAATGGTCTCAAAATTCTATCCATTTTGAAACTCTTAAATACATGTAAGACAGACCACACAAGTAAAACAATAAACAAAAATACTAAAGCCACAGCATGCATATGATACCAATCTTGAATTCAAGAAACACGAAACACCCAGAAAGAGGAACTAACAAATTAAGTTTACTGGCTCTTATACCAATTATTAAAATGGTAAATCTTGAATGCAAGATAATTCTAACTAGAAAGCAAGCCATATCGCAAAGGAAGGTGCACTGGCCGATGCTCTTGCATTTTTTTTTTTCCTTTCTTTGTTCTTTGTTTTAGGTTATTAGGTTTGGTTTGCTTTTCCTTCCATGTTCTCTACTGTTCTTTCCTTAAATTTGAGGTGAATATGAGCTTCTTTGACAAAAAATTTAATAAATTTTGTTTGATTGTTTTTTTGGTTGTTCTAGATTAGTAAATTACAGCTGTGCGTGTTTGGTTTGATTTTTGTGGGCGATTAATGATATGAATGATTTGTGATTGCTACGTGCATAGTGGATGTGATTTTTTAATTTTTTTTTTTAAAAGGGGTATTTGCGATTGCCAAAGACCTCGTGGTCAAGCGGCATGAAGTGACTTTTTTAAATTGGAGGCCATGTGTTTGATTCACAGTGGAGGCAGTATTGACTCGGTGGGCTTCAGTAAACTGAGAAAAAAAAGGGTATTCGCGACCATTTCAGCAGAAAAATGATTGCGGATACTCGAGTTAAATTCATTTTTGGTCCTAAATTTATAAGTGACAGTCCACTTTTAGTCCCTTTTTATTATAACATCATCATTTGGTCCTAGTATTATTATGTCATGACCATTTTTGGTCCTCCGTCAACAAAATCATTGAAATGCCGTTAAATACAACGACATTTCGATTTTTTTATATACAAAACAGGTTGACCCGCTATATTTTTATGTCTATTTTTTTTTAAAAAAAAAATCATAATTGAAGATCGAAATGCCCTGAATTTAACGAAATTTAAACTGTTTTGTTGATACAAGACTAAAAATAGTCATGCCACAATAATACTATGACAAAAAATGAATGTTCTGAAAAAAAAAAAAAAAAAAGTGGACCTTCACCTATAAATCTAGGACAAAAATGAAATAAACTCTTTTTTTAAAATAAAAAATAAAACAATCGGCGTTTGTTTTATATAAAAACGGTCACGGATTTTCAAACTTCCTCCGAACTCTGTTTCACAACTGTCGCAGAAAGCCGAGTTATACAATAGTTGTGAAAAGTTCAGTAACGAATTATGTTTTACCACTCAACTATCCCTTATGAACTCTTTTGACACATATTTTATATTGATTCTTGATATAAACTTGTAGACACAATTT